AAACTGACGTCAAGGAGAATGATGCTGCTGGATGACACCAATTCCAGCGGCAAGCCACCGGACAGTGAGTTGCACGACAGGTTGAGGCGCAACAAGCCTGTGAGATTTCCAAGGAACGGTGAGATAGACCCCTCGAGGCCTCGAGAAGCCAGCGAAACATCAGTGACCGTCCTATTGAGGCTGCAGGTGATCCCTTCCCAAGTGCAGCAATCGGTATCGCTCCGCCACGACTCCGCGAGGCCAAGGTTCTGCGAGAACCCAGCAAGGACCTGGAGAAGGGAGCTCTTCTCCTGCTCCGTGCAGCAGCTGGTCGGAGGGGCCAAGGATATCAGCAGCACGAGAGCCAATCCAAGAAAAGGCAAGGGAAATCTGCTCCTATTTGGGCAATGGTGTGACCGCATGGCTTTCTGAAGAAGCTAGCAAGGGAACCAATGGGCTGGTGAAGATCACGAGAGGAATGGAACAGGCAGCTCATGTCTCCGTTTTGTTTGATCCTCTTTCAGGTCGCACTCAAGAAAAGGAAAAGAAATGCGTCTAGGATTGACTCCTGTTGCCAAGGAGACTAGTAGCACAATAGTCAGCCCAAAAAAAGGTATGTGAAATCACTACCTACGTGAGCGACTAGAAATTAGCCTGTAAACCACAAGCGTAAGCTTTGGTCTGCCAGGCTGAAGTACTAGTTTCTCTTGAAGAAAGAGCAAGAGAGGAAAGGAGCAACCTGCTCTGGTCTCTCTCATTTCATCCCTTCTGGTCATCGTGATGACAAGAAAATCTGGTCAAAGATTAGCTGCTATTGCATATCCACTAATTTATTCACAAGTCTGACTTCCAAGCACAAACTGGTTTGTTAATCTTAGTCTGACCTCTTATCCTATCAGCTTTGCAATTAAACTCCATCATCGATGTCAGGGTTGACGCACGTACATGATTTAGAGAAGATGTGGATCACAACTCTCCCATAGGAGGCCATTCAGGCATTGTGGCTACTTATCAAAGGGTAAAAAAGCTATTTTATTGGCGCCAGGCCAGGAGATTGAAACTTTTCTACATGAAGTGTGCAGTTTGCCAAAGAGTCAAGGGAGAGCATTGCCACTACCCTGGTCTCCTAGATCCACTGCCATTACCTAAGTGCTGTTGATTGATGGAATGGTGTGTTGTAGCTATTGTCATATGGCCTTGCTTAGGTTGTTAATGCTGCTCAAACCTAGTTGTTCTTTTCAGCATCTGGCACCCCTTCGCTCGTATTGGCAGGATGCATACCATGCAAGCTGGCTTGGTTGCATGATTTCCCCAAGTCTTGCCCTAGCTTTCCTAATTCCATATAGTCAGTGCTGTGTCATTATTACCTAGTATTATCTGCAATACATACATAATCGGGGAACAGACCCCGCTCCCTTCCCCTCGTGTCGCTCCCGCGAGCGACCGAGGGGACACACCCGCCGCCGGCCTCTACGCCTCCTCCCCCCTCCCTCCCCTCGCCGCCGCCGGTCTGCGCCGCCGGGAAAATCCCGGTAGGTGCTGGCGGCGGCGGGGCTCGTCTCTCCCTGGCGCGGCGGAGCTTGGCGCGGGCCGGCGTCCTTGCGTGGAGGCGCGTTGCTGGACCGGGGCGGCGCGGCATCTGGGAGGCCCGGCGGCGCCCTGGGCTTCCTTGGCGGCAGGGTGGGCTCTGCTCGTGGTGTGGGAGGGCCGGCGCTGTTCTGTGGTGGCGGGGTGTGCACGTGGTGGTGGTGAGGGGCGGCCAGATCCGATCTGGGATGGAGCGTCTCCTTCGGCCGCTGTTTCGCAAGTGGCACGGGCTGTGGCGGCCCGGGCCCGCCGCCTCCGGTGGCTGCGGGCGCTGGTGGGGGTCCGATGTGGTGGTTAGGCTGGTCACCAGCGGACTCGTCCTAGCCCCCCAGCGGGGTCAGCTGGTGGTTGCGGCGGCCGGCCGTACTGGTGGTTGTGCGTGCCCGGCGTCTCTCATGCTTCGAGCTTGCTGGGCGGCGCGGGTTGGGCAGTGGCCCGGCGTGGCTGTTGTCCGGGCCGTGGGTGGCTCCACGGCGACTTGGCAGGTCGACTGCGGCGGCGGCTGGCATGTTTGAGCGTCTGTTCGTCCGTAGTAGTCTTGTGTTGGCCTTCACTTCCTCTTGTCGTCCTGAAGTTACTTCGTCGAAGGGCTGTCCTTCTCCCAGCTGCGGTCCATCGCCCGCTCGCGACCGGTGCGGCAGGACCGACCTCGTCTCGCGCACGGTGTAGCAGGACTGAACTCGTCTCGCGCACGGTGTAGCAGGACCGAACTCGTCTCGCGCACGGTCCAGCAGGACCGAGCTCGTCTCGCACATGGTGCCGCAGGACAGAGCTCGTCTCGCGCCCGGTGCTGCAGGACGGGTCGATGGAGGCCAGTTTGGCCAGCCTTTTGGGTCTCGGCGCTGGGGGCTGCCCAGGGGTGTGAAAGGCGGGACCTTTCCGCTCGTCTCTTTGGTTGGGGTAGCGGCGGATCCATGGTGAGGTGGTGTTAAGGTCTTGGATGCCGGAACGGCGGTCCTGGTGGTCGTAGCGCGGTGCTTATGGGCAGAGCCCATGGCTTGGTGCTGCCCGGTGGCCATGGCCGTGTGGACGGCGTGGTAGCTGCGGTGTGGCGTCCGGTGGGAGTGAGTGTTGGCCGGGGTGAAAACTGTTCTATCTTCGGACGGACCGGCGACGGCGAAGCTCGTTCCCTTCTTGAAGGCGTTGTCGCGGCTCTCACTGCCCGTCGTGCTGCTCCAAGGGAAACTCTGATCCTCGGATCGGGAGGTGGCGACGCTCCGGTATCGTTTCCTTCCTGAAGGCGCCGCCTTGGAGCCCACGGTTCATCATATGCGGCTTCATTTCTTCGCGGTGGCGTGTCCTCTGTTGAGCCCCCGGTTGCTCTTGTAGTGCTAGGGATGGTGTTGCTGCAATCAGCACTTATATATCCTGCCTTGGGTGTGTGCATGTGTTGTGGTGGCGTGCGTTTGTACCGGGTTGTTGTTGATCATTGCTTTATATATAAAGCGGGGCGAAAGCCTTTTTGGGTAATACATACCTAAAAAAGGATAATGTTGAAGCTATGCACACCTACCCACAACAGCGACATCATGTACTATATAGCCAGCATAGGCAAAAATCATATGGGTTTGAATTGCTTTCTTGTGTTGGTTGATATTGTTTTGATGCTCTTTCGCTTCAATTCCTTTCCAGTTGCTGTAGGCGTATCTTCCAAATGGTTTCACAGCCCCGAACGCGATGGGTTTGGTGAGCTGGGCCAAGACGCGATGGAGGAAGGTCAAAGGTGTGTGTCATGGCCAGCTCGTGCTGAAGCGCCTCCACTGAGCACGGCGCGACGAACAGGCAGATTGATGGATGAGGGTGGACGGATTGGTAGATGAAAAATCATATGCAACCTAAATATTAATTAGACCAAAATTGTAATTCTAGGAATGGATGAGTAACAACTTCAGAATGCAACTAAAGTATGCCAAATCTTCTTGAAACGCATCCAAAAATCTACCAGTTCAATAACTGATACGTGCAATGTAACAGCACTTCTCATCTTGATCACCTACGGCAACAAGATGGATGTCTTCGTACGTCCACCTCAATTGTGCAGGGCAGAGTGCAGCAGAATCCTCCAGCTAATTGGTGTATAAGCTTGCAGTGCTTTTGGGGGCGCATTGCTTCCAGGTAATTGGTGTGGTGGCATGTTTCTCAAACTTCAGGCTCGTAGCCGTGCCATGGAATGGAGCTCCAGGCTCCAGCCAACCTAATCGGCAAAGGAGTAGTCCATCCTGCTTTTCCATCTAGAGAAGAGGCATTCTGACAAACACCCCCAATGCATAAATAGGACAGTGGCGGCCAAGCTCCTTGGGGCACGTGGTCACTAGCGTGACAATGGTAGTGCCTGGGGCGCCATGGTCGTGTCGTGGTCCTGGGGGACTTGACCTTGGGGAGCAGTACAGCAGCTCGTCGCCATCCTTTGGATGAGCTCCGTGAACTGCTTGATCGCCGTGAGCACGTTCTTTTGTGCGCGCACGGCAGGCCACGGTGGAGGGGTTGCGCCTGCCGTGGCGTGGGAGAGGGTAGCCGGTCTTTGCCCAGAAAGTGTTTGTTGAAATGCGGAACAGGCCTTTTTGTATCCAGTTTTTCTGCAAAAGAACGTTCAAATGCCGCAACATTATTTAGTTACATCACCTGTGCATGGCTTTATGCCTGGGTGATTTGGCAGGTGGAGGAAGAATGGAAGATGAGATCGAAGCACGCCACACAAAGGGATTCAGCAGCTCAAGGCCTCACCGCGGCGCGCAGCGGCTTGGCGGGCCGTGCTCCCGCCTCTGTGGGCCGGAGGAAACTAGGCAGGCAGGGGATCAAAGTCCTATGCAGGCCCGATCGATGTCCAGTGAGTCCGTTATCCGAGGTATTGTAGAAAACACGGATCAGCTGCTTAATTCATGTGACATTATAGTACTAATTTCGTTGACATTTCTGTTTTCTTTCTCTTAGCGTGTGTTGTTTGCTGCGGAGAATTGCGATCCTGGGCTGGAGTTTGATGGCAACTGCATCGAGCTTTAGGTTCCTTCCGGTTTTGCCCTTGATCGATCTGTTAACGCGCCGGTCCGGCTTAATCGGTTAAATCCGTCACGTTGCTCTGAAATCTCAGTGTCATGTGAGTGTGCTAGACTGCAGATTGCTTATGTCTGCTTGGCGATTTTGCTTGTTATGTGTTGTACTCTGACCAACTTCCAAGAGAAACATTCATCAGCCTATGCATATGTGTATAATTAAATACTGACCAAATAGTTAAAACATTCTACAAAATTAATATGCTTACACACTGTTGACGTTGCTCACTAACTAATCAATTTTCCTGTTACATGGAGTATAGAGTGAACTCAGGATAGCAGGTTTAGCAGGGACGTCAATCTTGCTAGGGCTGGAGCTGGAGCCACTGATGACCACCGGAGATCACGTCATGGTTTGGGTGGTGGATAACAATTACAAGGTTTTTAGCAAAAATATCTGGCTAAGACCATCTGATCATATAGGATTCCTACTCCAAAGAAAGCACCAAAGGCGATCGCAAAGATGACCTTACTGCCAATTTGTTCTCTGGAGATGATGGACTCTGGCCCTGCTTCTGCTGAACCGCAATGGTTTACAATCATCAGACCACACAATTTTGGGTTTCCATCAAAGCTAGAATCTGGAAATGTGCTAAGCTGGCCCGCAGTTGGAATAAAGCCTTCGAGGTCATTATTAGAAATGTTGAATTCGGAAAGGAAGTGCAGATTGTTTAGTGTGGCCGGAATTGTACTAGTGAAATGGTTGCTGGACAAGTCGAGCAGCTGCAGGTTCGTCAAGGTTCCGATCTGTTGTCGGATTTCTCCAGATAATTTATTGGAACTCAAATTGAGTAAAAGGAGCCCTTGTAACTGACCAATCTCCTCTGGGATCACACCAGTGAAATTATTGATGCCTAGATTGAGCACTTTTGGAAAAGCACCAGGTTTGAGGTATTCGACAAATGGACTGAAAAAATAAAGAGGCAGCTCAGAGAAGATCTTTGGTGCAGTCTTGTCTGATTTTAGCATTAGCATCTCCATTAAGGCAGTTGGAATTTCCCCCGTAAAGCTGTTGTTTGATATGTCTAGATAGAAGAGCAAGTTTAGGCTGCTGATCCAGTCAGGTATTGGTCCAGTAAGTTGATTGTTTTGCAAAAATAGCATCCCCAAGTTGGTGAGCTTTGATAACCAAGCTGGTAATGTTCCAGACAATGAACAATAATTCATAGAAAGAACCTGAAGATTCTCAAAACCACCAATGTTGTCATCCTCTGGCATGGTCTCATGAAGGAAATTGAATCCAATAAAAATGGTGGTGAGACTCCTGGAACTACCAAGGATCTGAAGTGTTCTTGTGATATTCGTAAGGGAGAGGTTAACAAGTGCTAGAAACGAGAGAGACTTCAGATTGCCTATCTTTTCTGACAATTGACCATGGAAATGATTGAAAGATAGCCATAGTGCGGTCAGCTTGCTGCAGGAGTATATGCTTTCTGAAATTGTGCCGGTGAAGTCGTTGGAAAGAATATCTAATATTTTTAGATTGGGCAGGCTTAAAAAGTTGATCTTGGTAAATTCTCCGTTAAAATGGTTTACCTTGAGGTCAAGCGTTACGAGGTTTGTGCAGTTGCTCAGCGCTGATGGAAGCTCCCCTGACATGCTGTTGTGGTCCAAGAGGAGCTCCTCCAACTTCTTCAGCTCACCTATAGATTCTGGTATATTGCCTCTGAACTCATTCTTCCCAAGATCAAGGGTGACCAGATTTGTTAGCTTGATGATGCCTTTGAGCTCTCCTTCTAACCAATTGAAAGGTAACGAGAGGTGCTCTAATGTGGTAACCTTGAAGAGTTCATCTGGAAGTGTCCCACTGAGGTGGTTGTTGCCAACGCTGAGCAATTTCAGCATGGAGCAATTGCTGAGTCCTGGAGGAATGTTTCCACTGAATTTGTTAAAACTGAGTTCGAGCACTGCAAAAGATGGTGCACTAACACAAGACATAGTTGGCATCTGCCCGGTAAAGCTGTTGGTGCTGGCATTGAGCGCAACTAGGCTCTTCATCACCTCCCATATAGTGGATGGAAATCTTCCTGTAAACAAGTTGCTCGAGATGTTTACTACCTGCAGAGGTCGCGCAGGGGTGGAAGATGGCAGCTCACTCCAGGCCTCCTGTCAGGCGGTTAAAACTGACGTCAAGGACAAGGATGCTGCTAGACTGCAACAGTTCTAGCGGTAAGCCACCAGACAGCAAGTTGTGGGACAGATCGAGTCGCAACAAGCTGGTGAGATTGCCTAGAAACGGCGAAATGGACCCCTCGAGAGTCGAGACCTCGAGAAGCTAGCACAACATCAGTGACCATCCTATTCGGGCTGCAGTTGATCCCTTACCACCTGCAGCAGTCCGTGTTGCTCCGCCATGATGCCGTGAGACCACCATCCTGCGAGAGCCCAGCAAGAAGCTGGAGAAGGGAGCTCTTCTCCTGCTCTGTGCAGGATCTGGTGGGAGAAGCCAAGAAGACCAGTAGCACAAGAGCCAAACCAAAGAAAGGTATGGGAAACTGGCTCCTGTGCGAGTGATTGAGTGACTTCATAGTTTTCTCGAGAACCTAGCTTGGAAACCAGAGGCTTAAGCTTTGGTCTCCCAGGATGAAGTGCTAAGTTATCGATGAAGAAAGAGCAAGATAGGAAAGGAACAACCTGCTCTGGTCTCCATTTTGTTTGATCCAGTCTCCGGTCGTTAGTGATAAAAAGAAAAATTGGGTCAAGGACTAGCTGTTATTGCTTGGCTTATCTACTGTAGTTTATTGGTGAGTCCGACTTCCAAGCAGGAATTGCCGTGTTGATACTTAATCTGTCTGTTTCGCTTACCAGTTTGATGTGAAGGGGTCGTTGCTGGACAATGCATGCATTTTTTACACTTCAGCAGGAAACTTATTTTACAACTTATTGACAATGACTTCCCTTTTCTGAATAAAAATACACACACTAGGTGCAACTGAATCAGCAGGAAACTGAACTTATGTGCCATGTTATCTAATTGTGCATAATAAAGAAGTGGTGTCTATTGTTCTTTTTTTTTCTTAGACTGAATAAAAAGCAAGCTCATCTCGTTCTCACCCATAGTTAAGATTTATTTCTTTCTATAGATTTAATTTAACAAGAATCAGTCTCACTTTATTAATTTTAATCCAAAATTAAGGTATCCATGCCATGTGCACTTTATTTTTTCTACGAAATACTAATCTCCTATAGCAATGGGAAATGATTCCTGGGTACAAGCCAAGCCGCAACTCTAGCCAATAGTTATGTACTGCATCAACAGAAACTTTATACACCAATGAACACTCCTAAGGACCTCTTTGATTTGTGGGATTCTAGACTTGCAGGAACAGGAAAAAGTAAAACTGCAATTTCATGCCAGCTTGGATCCTGTGATTGAATGCTTGTGCCCTTAGCTATGTTTTCATTTTAGTTTCTTCCTAGTTGTTTATCTGTCATTGATCAGTGTAGAGTGGTCAATTTTGCAGTTAGGAACTTCCCGAGACATCGTTTGAGCGCTGTGAAACAACCTTCTCCCAAAAGTTGTGATTCTCTGATTTTTAGCATGAAGAGTTCATCTGGGAGAGTCCCACTGAGGTTGTTGTGGCCTACCTTGAGCACTCTGTCCTTTGATTCAAAGGAATTCCATGGGACTTTTGGAGGGTTAGAATCCTTAGGATTTTTCCTACATTTGTCGTTTGATTCACGGGATTGAATCCTATAGGATTTTTTCCTATGGAATCAAGTGTACTACGTTTCATTGGAAATCTAGCATCCACCCCAACCTCTTTTTTCAATTCCTTTGTTTTTCCTGTAGCGTCAAACACTCTATGCTAATCCTATAGGATTCAAGTGGACATGCCACTCAAATCCTGTATTTTCCCTATTCCCACGTTTTGAAAATCCTGCAAATCAAAGAGGGCCTGAGCATGGAGCAGCTACCAAGTTCAGGGGGAATGCTCCCTCTAAATCGATTGTAAGAGAGCTCAAGCACAACCAAGGATGTAATGCTGGTGCAGAAATCAGTTGTTAGTGGCCCAGTAAGCTGTTGTTGCTGGCGTTGAGCGCGACGAGGTCAAAATTTATAGGGCAAAAATGGCCATTTTATAGCTTAATGAACCTAGATGCTCTGTCACATAAATCTGCTAAATTTGCTTGTACTCACCTGAAATCAATTTATTGTTGCAAGGTGCAGACAAGGATGATCCGAACTTCTGTTCACTTTGGAGCATTATCTAGAATATATTTGCCTGTTAACGTGTCAGGTTTTTCTCTCTTTTCAGTCAGATGTATGTATCAGGTTTTGTGTACTGTTCAAGTTTATCATAGCAGTAAGTTGGACCGGAACTACTTGAGCCTGGAAACAGGTAAACACAACTCTACGTACGCAGTTTAGAGCACCTGGCGTGACAAATATGCAATTCAGCGTCATCAAGATTCAAGGGTTAATATTCAGCAAGTAGCACACAGTGCATATTTCCAAATGATAAAGGCGCAACCCAGCAGTGTCTGTCACGCAGTGTTTCCCAGTATGATAAAGGCACAACCCAGCATATTTCTGAATTCATCCAAATTAGACTCAAATGTCTGAACAAAAGTAGACACGGTGTAGAGGCAAACACACAGCCAAATACTACCTCTGTAAACTAATATAGGACTTTTTAGATCACTAGTTTAGTGATCTAAAAAGTCTTATACAATATTAGTTTATAGAGGGAGTACATCCTTAACCATCTGTAGCAATGTGTTCGAATCACATAAAGCTGTGTGATAACCTGCAAAGCAGAGACATTCAAACTTAACTTAGATCTTGGAAAGATGAATAGCCTTCAACTGATCACTCCAGAAGACGCTGGCAACAAGGATCAGAATGATGGTGGCGGGTCCAGATGTGTCCACTGATCCAGTAAAGACGCTGGCAACAACTGACAATGTGGTGGACAAGACTGTATGGCCTTGGTATGAGGCCGCTGGCGCTGAAGAAGTTTCCATCACAAAGCGGCGACCAGGTACCTCTGCCCAGATCATATTGCCGCAGTTGGCCATTGTTAGGTGGGCTAAGGAAGGTGACGGAGTTCCCCTGAACGGATGATAGGTTCCTGGAGTTGACGGACATGCTCCAAGTACCAATGAAGAGGGCGTGGTCACCGATGCTTGTCAATGGCATGGCAGCAACTCCAAGCAGGAGGTCAGAGAGTCTGATAACCAAAAGCCGGGACTTTCTGTGGGTATAGCCAACCAGAAGAAGTTCAGAGTTGCACTCCACCAGGTAAGGCTTAGGCATAGCTGAACATGTCGCAATCATTTGTGGCGGTGTAGACAGCCATGAGGAGGAACTGGAGCTATCTGGTGGATCGACGCGCATGATTTGTGAGGGTTTGTTTTTCGAGCTCCTCACCATGTAGAGGCTGCCACGGAATGGCAATGCTGTCCTCATGCCACTCATCATCCAGCTTGTGTGAGTCCAGTGCTTGTCACAGGTGGATGCGTATGCCATGCGCTCGGTGTGGCTGAGCGCGAGCATGATGGTAACACTGCCACCCACATGGACGGAGACAGCCGCGTGGACCATCCGTAGTCCAAGATCATAAGGGCCATGCAGAAAGCTCCCGAACTTGCTCATGTACAAGCAGAGGGAGGCAAGGGGAGGGAACTCGGCAACATCACCGGTGAAGGGGTGGAGGAGGCAGATAGCAGCGTCCTTCTTGCGCTGCAGGAGGAGGAGGCCGTCAGGGCAGTCGAGCACGGAGTGGTCCTCAAAGCATGGCACTTGCACACGGACGAAGATGCCGGTTTCGATGTTGAGGAAGCGGATGTAGCCGCCCAATGCAGTGTGGCCGGGGTGAAGCCCGTTGCCCTCTGGAAACATCATCCATTGCCGTGGATGAAAGCGCGGGTCTACCACGCCACGGCCGAGCGGGCAAGGAGTGGCGGCACGCCACTTCTTGCACACCGCGCGGAACCAGACGTAGTGCAGCAGGTCGCTAGAGAGTACCCGGTCAGCGATCAGCTCCAGCAAATCAGCATGCAGCGATTCCCAGGACAGGACATAGGCTTGTTGAGTGTCGCGCCCACTGCAACGGTGCACACAGGCAGCTTGCTCAACTTGGTTGGCGGCTGTGCTTGCTCCAACAGTTGCCATCCTGATTCCCCCCTGCAAACGAACAAGACTTGTCAGCTGAGAGTTCTGATAAGTAGAAATATTGTAAAGATGCTACCAGTCACAGCTCAAACTTGCTCAATGACATTGCTTTAGTGCTATTTATGAAAATGTTTCCCGTGGTTTGTGTTTCTTCTATTTTTGCCATGTACGGCGCAACCGCTAAGTCAAGGCACTTTCACAGACTTCGGATGATCCGAAAATTGGCAATTTCGTCATACCCTATCCAATGTTGCAGAAGGGCAAGTTCATATATAGCTAGGACTACAAACTGTTGAAGGTTCTGAGCAAAAAGAAGCACAACAGCACAAGCACAAGCTCGGTTAGATTTTGGGACAGTCAGACAGTCAGCCAACATCTCTCGACAACGACAACAGAGACACCAGTAATGTAAAAAATATTCAATCTAAGCAGAACACAACGGGGACATTTTCTTCTAGAATCCATCAGATTTTGCTACCGCAAACAAAAAAGTTATCCAAACGGTCGTTGGAGTTCACCAGTAGCTAGGACTGCAAACGGTTGAAGGTTTGTGAGCGGAAGCGCAATCACCATCAGATTCTGACAGCAGAATCAGCCAACAACTCTCGACAACACAGACACCCGTAAACAATCAATCTGATTTTGCCCATAAGCAGAACGCAGCGGACAAAAATAATCTAGAATCCATCAGATTTTGCTACCACAGAAAAAAATATTACCCATCCATAAACCTAACAAATTTTGCTAACGCATTCAGTCGCTACAGGAAGCATGATGTGCATCGAGAGTACCTAATCCTCCCGCGGAAGTGTTCGTCGGTCGTGCGGCCGAGATCGCGTGGGCCGCAAGGGTAGATGCTGTGGGGCCGCGATTTCGCTCCCGCCTTCTGGCCGCCGCTTGTACACCGGCCGCCTTTACTCGGTACAGGAAGGTCGCACGCTGGCTGCGAGCACCCCGCTGCGGCGCCGCCTTGTTCGCCGCGTCCGCCTGGCGCGCTCGCGGCGCTAGGGTGAGGGGGCGGAGGTGGGGGCCGAGGGGCCGAGGGATTTCGGGGGACGGAATTGAACCGGGAGTGATAGAATCGGGGAGGGGTAAACGAGGAGGATCCCTAAACAAAAGTGAACGAGAAGGAGAGCTGACTGTAAATAGGAGCATCATGTATTTTAACTTTTCTCCTTTTCAAATAAAATTTTGCAATAGGTAATTAACACACTGCTTTTCCCTGGAAGAAAAAATAGCAAGCAACTGGATATCACAACTTGTTTAGGGCATCTCTAAGCTGTCCACGGACAAATACGGAAAAGCCTCGGATGCGTCCGCGGATAGTGATATCGAAGCCGGTCATCCAACCATGCTCGCATACATCTCAAAGCGGATTTGAAAAAATTGAATGATATTCATGCAAATAAGGCGGAATTTACTTAAGTTCGAACATAATTTACATAAAATAGTTGTTCAACTAAAAACGTACACTAGCATGTAACTGATAGTGAACTCGCGTGGCCTTCCTGGTTGGCCGCACCTCCATCGGTGTTCATGTCGCCATCGTCGGAGTGGTCCCTCCAGCGCCGGAATGGCGTGGGGGTATGGTAGTCATGTCTGGCCGCTGGGTGCCACTCGCCGTGCGGAGGGCCGCCTAGGCCAATGCTGACCCAGGTCGGGCTGCCCTGGCAGCCTTGCCCTTGCCGGCGCCAGCGAAGATTTCGCTGAGCGACCACTCCTAGCCGATCGCCAGGCGGCGGCGGCGGCACCACAGCCATCTTCATGGTGGCGAGCGATCCATCGAGTGCCCAGACCTCCGTGAGGTCGGGGACAATGCGGATCGAGGCCGGTGTCGCGTCAGACTTGGAGAAGGTCAAGTGGCGCCCCGCGTTGCATTGCTCCCGCCACGCCACCTGCCTCATGATACGTCTCCAACGTATCTATAATTTATGAAGTATTCATGCTAATATATTCTCATTCTTGAATGTTTTACAATCATTGTATAGCAAATTTATATCATTTTTTGCGACTAACCTATTGACCCAGTGTCCAGTGCCAGTTGCTATTTTTTGCTTGTTTTTTTTACATCGCAGGAAATCAATATCAAACGGAGCCCAAACACCGCATAACTTTTTGGAGATTTTTTTCTAGACCAGAAGGAATCCAATGGGCCTGAGCTGCACCAGGGGGTGCCCCGAGGGGGGCATAACCCACCAGGGCCCGCTGGCGCGCCCAGGTGGGTTGTGCCCACCTCGGTGGCCCCTGCACCCCCTCTTTGCACTATAAATTCTCAAATATTCTAAAACCCTTCGGGGTAGCCCTAGATCAGAAGTTCCGCCATCGCAAGGCCTCCGTATCCACGAGATCCAATCTAGACTCCGTTTCGGCACCCTGCCGGAGGGGGGAATCATCTCCGGTGGCCATCTTCATCATCCCAGCGGCCACCACGATGAGGAGGGAGTATTCCACCCTCGAGGCTGAGGGTTTGTACAAGTAGCTATGTGTTTGATCTCTCTCTCTCTCTCTCTCTCTCTCTCTCTCGTGATCTATATCATGGGCTTTGTTAATATAGTCGGATCATATGATGTTTCTCCCCTCTATACTCTTGTTATGATGAATTGAATCTTTACCCTTCAAAGTTTTGTCTTGTCGGATTGAATATTCAGAGATGAGAACACATGATATATGTCTTGCAATATGAATACTTGAGGTGACAATGAGGTATCTTATTGATTCACTTGATATGTGTTATGGCATTCAACTCGTGGATTCCCGCGATGATATTGGGGTAATCTATGCATAGGGGTTGATGCATATTTTTCTCCGACGGAAACTTTGGGGTCTCTCTATAGTTCTTTGAGTGGATTGAGTATTATGAATATGAATTTGCTTTGGTGTTACTTTAGTACGAACTCTAGGATAGATCGAACGGAAAAACAGCTTTGTGTTATTTTAGTACGAACTCTTGAATAGATCGAACGAAAAGAATAGCTTTGAGGTGGTTTCGTGACCTACAAACAATTCCTATCTTTTGTTCTCCGCTAATAGGAACTCGGTAGTGATTCTTTATTGCACTTTGAGGGATAATCATATGATCCAACTATGTTAGCATTGTTGAGAGGTTGCACTAGCGAAAGTACAGACCCTAGGCCTCATTTTTAAGTATTGCAATACCGTCTTTGTGCCCGTTTACTATTTGCTACCTTACTGTTTTTATTTATTCAGATTATAAAAATATATTTCTACCATCAATATTACACTTTTATCACCATCTCTTCGCCGAACTAGTGCACTTATACAATTTGCCATTGTATTGGGTGTGTTAGGGATACAAGAGACTTTTTGTTATTTGGTTGCAGGGTTGCCTGAGAGAGACCATCTTCATCCTACACCTCCCACGGATTGATAAACCTTAGGTCATCCACTTGAGGGAAAATTGCTACTATCCTACAAAACTCTACGCTTGGAGGCTCAAAACGAGTCTACAAGAATAAAGTTGCGTTGTAGACATCAAGCTCTTTTCTGGCGCCGTTGCCGGGGAGGTAAGGAAACCGACACTCACACTCCGGCAACAAAGCTCTTTTCTGGCGCCGTTGCCGGGGAGGTGAGTACTTGAAGGTATATCTTTAGATCTTGCAATTGAATCTTTTAGTTTCTTGTTTTACGCTAGTTTGGTTTATAGATGAAAACTACAAAAAAATGGAATTAAGGTTGCATCACATTATTGATCATCTTTATAATATCTTTCTTGAAAATGATAGATTGGAAAGTTGTGCTCAATTGTTAGAAGAAGAATTTAATTAAATGATTGGCATGAATGATGAGCATGATGGCAATGTTGTTAGTATGAAATCTTTGAATATCCATGATGTTGATGATATGCAAAGCTACAAGCTTGGGGATGCTATGTTTGATGAAGATGATATTTTCACTCCCCCAAGTTTTGATGAGATAAATTATTATGATGATAGCATGCCTCATATTTATGATGATTATGATGATGACATATATGCTATAAAGAATAATGATAACCATGAAACTTGTCATCATGATTTTAATTTTCACTCTCATGATAGTTGTTTTGTTGAGTTTGCTCCCACTACTATTCATGAAAATAAATGTGCTTATGTGGAGAGTGACAAAATTTCTATGCTTATGCATCATGAAAAGAATGCTTTATGTGATGCTTACACCGTTGAATTTCTTCATGATGCTACTCAAAATTATTATGAGAGAGGAACATATGCTTTTACATATCTCAATAATATCAGGTTTCCTCTCTATGCATTGAAAGTTTTGAAGTTATGCATGTTTTGCCTTCCTATGCTAGTTGATTGTTGTTCCCATGAATTATTTGCTCACAAAATACCTATGCATAGGAAGTGGGTTAGGCTTAAATGTGCTTGCCATGTGATTCATGATGCTCTTTTTCATGTTTCAATCTTTATCTTTTATGTTGGGTGAAAGTTGATTTGATCTTGCTGAAAAACAGGAAACTTATGTGCTCACGAAAATAACTATCATTTTTAACAAAAGAGTGATTTTGAGTTGATTCTTTTTGCAGAAGATTAATATACAAATTTCTCACGTGGACCAAATTTTTAAATAATTTTTGGAGTAGCATAAGTATGGTTTGAGTACAGATTACTACAGACTGTTCTGTTTTTGACAGATTCTGTTTTCAATGCATAGTTTGCTTGTTTCCTTGTTTCTATGGCTTATATTGCTCAATATAAATTGTGGAAATGATATGATACGCTAGGAATTGTGTGGAAACAATTATGAATCTTGTCTTTGATAGTACCAAAGTGAAATGGTTTGCTCTTTATCATACTAACCTATCTCACGAAGTTTCGTTAAGTTTTGTGTGATTGAAGTTTTCAAGTTTTGGGTGAGATGTCGATATGAGGAGAATAAGGAGTGAAAATACCTTAATCTTGAGGATTCCCAAGGCACCCCCAAGGTAATATTCAATGAAGATCCAAGCAACTAAGCTTGGGTATGCCCCGGATGGCATC